GTGGACCAAAACACGGATGGCATCATATTATGCCCATTCCCGCGCCACTAGCTCATCAGACGGAGTTTGTTTTTCTCCGAAAGTAGTGGCTTCATTTATATAGTACAGATTTTAGGCAATGGCACCTATAATGAAGGTAAACCTTCAAAATTTTAATATCTTTATAAATCATAGCAAAATAAAAGCTTTTAAATGCTAAATGTCGCTCCCAAACTACCGATCGAGCTAGGTGCAAACAGGGGAAACTGCCAAAGCGCGCCAACAATCTCATTCTTATGTCCACTTGCCAAACATTTTTACCCATCGGCACTGGGTTAATCATTCCAAATATTCTAGTCAAAATCTGAACATTTTATTCTGAAAAAGGAAGATTACTTCTGAAGTTGGATACAGAAAAAAATCTATAAACAAACAATGAAAAATACATGTATATACCATTTTCTTGATCTCCTCTACTGCACAACCAAAACTAGTTGCTTGAAATCCTGAATATCTGTAGGTTTCCAAGAGCTTATGGTAATCAATGCCATTGTTGTAGTCATAGCCTGAAAAGAAATGGTATTTAGTAAAAAACTATAATACAAACACGTAATATAATTTTCTTGAGAGATGCATCAATTTCTAGGTTCAAAATCATTAATCCAGATTCAGTTTCCTTACTAATGATCCCCCAGCATTTTCTGTATATTTAGCCTTACATTTGCTACTTTTCTGGAGTTGTAATTGTTGATTTTTTTCTTTTTCTTTGTCAGCATATTCCTCTCAATAAACTTGAGAATATAGCACCTCCAGTCCTAAAATAGTTTTAATCTCAGTTTTGTGATCATAGATTTGTCTGAAGTGCTTTCTTACTTCCAGTGTTTATGCCTTGTTCGGGTGTCTCCTTGTTTCTCTTCATATTCTTCATTCTCACTGTATTTCTTTGAATAAACTTGTTAAGTAGATGCTTTTAGTTTTGAAGTCATCTGTGACAGCCTTAAATTAGTTTTGTAAATTTAAAAAAAATCTTTATATTTAAACCTTTACTATCAACTATTTTGACCTTAGCATTATCTTTGTTCCCTTGTGCTCCTTAACTTACTGAAATATGAATAATAAAATAATCAACCTAAAGCACTAATTGAAATGGAATGTATCTGATACTAAGCTTCTCACCTTCATTGTTTTCAAAGAATTACATGTTTAGATAAAAATTCAAGTTTCAACATAAAAGAAATTATATACTAAACCTTTGATTTGTCAAATAATAAAGCTTATCCTAAAGCATTAGAAAATTATTAAAGAATTTGGCAAACCACTACATAGGTTAACACCAATTAACAATAATAACAACAATAAAGGTTTCCCATCTATAAACAGGGAGTTTTGTAATAACAATCTACACACAACTGTGAGAGGTTACAGAAGAAGATTGACATTATCTAGCTAATGTCTGAAATTAACTTTAAAGGGAACTTCCGAAGAATGACTCAAGTTCACAGTATTCTTGTCTGACAAACTATCAAAAGCTTTATATTGGTGAAGCACTGGAAAAAAAAACAAAATGGTGTTTCTATGTGGTTCAAAAACTTCTTGGCACATAAACTATTAACCCATTGGATCCGGGTGCCTTACGGCTTGCACATGGATTATAATCCGGGCCTTAATATTACTTGAATGGTGACACTCTTGGGTGTGTGTCTTGTAGGGCCAGCCCACACAAAACACTCATAAGCAGTATCAAGTTTACTTGCCTCCACTTTTGCTATGCTCTAGTTCTCATTCTGCAGGCACTGTTTTACCATTTTCCAAGGTCTTTCTCATATGATATCATATAAACTGTTTTTGTTGACCAGATTCCATACAATTTCTCCAGGTAGTCTACAACTCTGTGTAAGAACAATAACTAACAATACATTACTCATGTTTTCAAAAATATTTTCATAATATTCTAATTCCCATAATTATGACCAGTGCCACTGGTCACTGAGAAGAATAAGTCACTATCCATTTAAAGAGCGTCTTCACCAGAGCCAGTGCTCTTCTAGGTATGCCTCACATATGGTACATTCCACCCTTGTTTAATGGTGAAATTAGTGCAAGAGATCCTTCTTAAAAGCTCACCACTGCGTCTAATAGCCCTCTCCCAGGCATTGTTGACATAGGGTAAACATCACCCTCATGGACCAGAGGAAATCCTGCAGGAGCTCGCAAACAAGCTATTTCCAGAAGGCCCACTTAGTTAACCCAGTGCAGCTGGAAAAATGTAGTGCTCACTGCAGTATTGATTTCAATAATGCTTTTACATAGATATGGTTCAACAGGTGTTAATTAGTAGACCTTGTGACCCCACCTGACTTCACCTTTCCTTGAATTTTTGGGAAAAATTTTTTTTTACTAATACTATCAATATCTATGCTGTTGTTATTATTATAGCCATAATAACTATCATGATGCTATCAGCATTACTAATAGCAATATAAGGTAAAAGAAAATATTTCCAAAAATCAAGGAAAAGGGTAAACACATGAGATAGAAGTAATAGTAATTGGCTCATTGATGCTGAAGTATTTGTGGAGATATCTACTTGTAAGAACAATTTGTAAACACAGTGGGCATAGTATGGGCATACATGCCTTTACTGGTGGCATCTGGTTAACTCACAGCCTACGGATAACATGGGATTCACGTTATGGCTGACTTGGTCGTGACATCTTCCTGCTATGCCTGGAAGATGTCAGGCACCAAAAAGGGTCACTCTCTTCCTAATGATGAGAACCAATAAGTAACCTTCACTCTTGTTTATGAGATACATCTCCTCATGTCAACTACTCCCACTGTCTTTTGGTGCTCTACCAGTGTGGCATAATGAAGCAGTGGTGGCAGCAACGTTTTATATTCTTCAATAAAAACACATTCAATCTAGTACACAGAGTGTAATATACCTTATCTATTGAAATGGACTCTAATGTATATAATCAGGCTACTACAGGTTCAATCAAGCAATAAAAATGCATCTCTGAATATGTAAAAACAATAAAATTATGTCTTGTATACAAGTGACATCAATTTGTTGGTGCAGTATGGTGAATGCCACACACCAGTTGTGTATGAAAAGGCCCCTGAGGCAAGCCCACTCAGCTGCTCATACTACCCGCAGTAGAGGCCAAGTGATCTTCATATTCTCCAGAAGACAATAGGTTAATCTCACTGTAAGTGCTTTCTACATTCATGATGAGGTATCCTTATCACCCATTACTCAGCTACAATATTCCATTATGAGACTTTCATGTTACCCAATTTTTTCATGATAAGAAATAAGAAAAAATCTGTATTAGCAATAGAATAACAATATTACTCTGAAGAGTAATTCCAGGTACCCATCATTTTCCATTTGTATGTAAGAAGTTAATGTTTTAGAACACAAAAAAGTTGTTAAAAATCCTGGTAAAAACACCAATGAAGCTAAAACTGTAATCTAAGCCTTCTCATAAACTTATTGATGTGTTTGTTTGCCTGCCTTCAAAGTAGGATATCCAAACTCTCTGACACTCACTTAAGAAAAAATACAGCTTCATTTTACAATCACTGAAAGTGAAGGTGCAGTGCTTTTAAATGAAGACACAAAATTAAAGATTAGATTATTTGAATTCTAAAGCCAGATGACTTGCAGCATATATCAAAACCCTTTTAATGAACTTATTACTTTTTTACATATTCTGATTCCTACACATGATGTAAATGTAACTGAAGTTAGATTCAGCATAAATAACAAAAGACATGCTGTTGTTTGAAGCTAATTTAAAAAAAAAAAAAAAAAAAAAAAAAAAAAAAAATCAGATTTAAGTTAAGCACTGATACTTAAAATTCATAAATGTAGATTACTATATACTTATAAAGGCATATATACTAATAGCAATCCAAACAATAAATTTTCATAAATCAATCAAATGCAAGACCACACTATGTATGGTGGCTTTTGCACAATGGCTCATCAAATTAACCACAGTTCTTACTTGCCTTGTATATTATTTCATAAAGAATCATAATAAAATAAAACAATAATGTCATTACCTTGAACCACTGGTGTTCCTTCAGGGACTGCTTCTGAGGGAACAAGCACAGCTTCTCTTGAAATATCATTCTGAGCTTCCATTATTCAATATATGTAGAGATCTGAAACAGATTGCCTATTCAGTCTAAATACCTTTTTATTTTGTGAGAAAAAAAAATTATCATAATGGATTTTATGACATAACATGCCTATACCAAGAAAATATTATCTTTTATCTAGTGGCACAGCTAGAAAACTACTCAAAAATAAATTACTAATTCTATCTTACAATCTTTACACACAAAAGACTAATTTCTGTAGTTATTGTAGACCATAATGTCATAAATCAGCAAGGAGTGTACATTACATCTACATTGGGAAAGAGAGAGAGAGATGTAGAGAGGGGAAGAGAAGAGGAGGGGAGAGGAGGAGGAGAGGGGGGATGAGGAGGAGAGGAGGGATGAGGAGGAGAGGGAGAATGAGAAGGAGAGGGGGGATGAGAAGGAGAGGGGAGAGTGCGGAATGAGGAAGGGAGAGGGGGAGAGGGAGGGGAGAGGGAGAGGGAGGGAGGGAGAGGGAGAGGGAGGGAGAGAGGGAGGGAGAGGGAGGAGAGAGGGGGAGGGAGAGAGGAGAGGAGGAGAGAGAGAGAGAGAGGAGAGAGAGGAGAGGAGAGAGAGAGAGAGAGCAGAGAGAGAGAGAGAGGAGCGAGAGAGAGAGAGAGAGAGAGATAGAGAGAGAGAGAGAGAGAGGAGAGAGAGAGAGAGAGAGAGAGAGAGAGAGAGAAGAGAGGAAAGAAAGAAAGAAAGAAAGAAAGAAAGAAAGAAAGAAAGAAAGAAAGAAGAGAGAGGAGAGGAGAGAGAGAGAGAGAGAGAGAGACGAGAGGAGAGAGGAGAGAGAGAGAGAGGGAGAGAGAGAGGAGAGGGAGAGGAGAGGGAGGGAGAGGAGAGAGAGGGAGAGGGAGAGGAGAGGGAGAGGGAGAGGGAGAGGAGAGGGAGAGAGAGGAGAGAGAGAGAGAGAGGGAGAGGGAAGGAGAGGAGAGAGAGAGGAGAGGAGAGAGAGGAGAGAGAGAGAGAGAGAGAGAGAGAGAGAGAGAAGAGAGANACAGCACACACGCCATCACGTTTAGTCACGCACACAAGGGCAGTAAATGGGGCGGGGCACACACGCACGAACGCACACGACACGACGCGAACACGTACATTTACAGCACACTCAAGCGATGGCACACACAGGCACAAACGACCAACATGCAGCACGGCAGCACAACGCAAACGCACACGCACACTTCACCACACAACGCAGCACAGAGAGCAGCACCGCAGCAACGCGCACACGTACAACTAGCAACGAGCACATGGGGCGGGGGGGAGGAGGGAGAAGAGTAGAAAGGAAGAATGGAGGACAAGGAGACAAGCAGGGCACACGCGCAAGGAGTTAGGCAGACGCGCAGCTGGACGAGCGAAGATGAACAGGACGACGCGGAGGCGCAAGGAGACAAGCACGCTGAGAAAGGAAGAACTGCGCACGGGCACGGACAGACAAGAAGGTACGGAGGGAGGTGACAGCAAGTACAACCGAGCCGAGCACGAAGCGGCACAGAAGGAACAGAAGTAGAAAGGAAGAATGCGAGGGAGGAAGAGAGGGAGGAACGGACGAGGGGGAGAGAGGGAGGGAGGGAGGCAGGTATAGGAAGACCCGGTGAAACACGACACCTCGTACAGGAGTTAAGCAACACTTGGCCAGCTTACCTCGAGGGAGTTCGAGTTTCGTGAAAAATGCACGAGAGCATTAAAAAAAAAAAAAAAAAGAGAGAAAGGAAAACGAAGAAGAAGAAGAAGAGAAAAAAAAGGAAGAATTGAAGATTTACTTTTCACTGTAAAGGACTGAAGGTTAGCAGCCACTGAAGGAAAACTGGGGAGGAAATTATTGATCCAAAAATAGAAATTCTTTTTTTTTCTCTCTCTCTCTCTCTATCTCTCTCATTTGTTTTCTTTTAATGATAAGAAGAACTGGTTGCTTATAATGGCGCAGAATATATCATAGATAACAACATTCGAAACTGAACAATCTATTGAAGAAACCTGCTCTTGATCACTTATTAAAAATTAATATATCCATATATTAGGAAAATATAAAATCCCTTAAAATACAGGTGTTAGTGTTATATAAGGTAAGACGTGAAGGATTTGATTTGGTAATACTGTTTCTTCTCTAAGGTAAGATATTGAACAGGTGAAATGGCTTTGACGTTAAGGGTGGAAGTCGTATATGAAAACGATGAATTTTATCCGTCGATAAGAAATGTTTGAGAACTTTACTCCAATAAAAAAAAAAAAAAAAAAAAAAAAAAGAGAGAGAGAGAGAGAGAGAGAGAGAAAAGAAAAAAAATCAATGCAGCGAAAATATATCTATAAAATCGTAAAACAATATATATGTGTATATATGTAGGTATGTATGTATATATATATATGCATATATGTGTGTGTATGTATGTGTGGTGTGTGTGTGTGTGTGTATATATATATATATATATATATATATATATATATATATATATATATATATATATATATATATATATATATTAATATATATATATATATATATGAAAACATATCCACA